GGGGGGGGGGGGGGGGGGTCCTCGGAGAGTTTTGCGAGATCCCGAGGTCCCCGCGAATCCTGGCATGCCTCGAGCAGATCGCCTCCTCGCATCATCCTCCCACATATGATTTAATCGGTCGCATCCGTAGATCAAGCGCCCTGTAGATGTAGATATGTAATTTCAGAATAAACCAAGACCGTATGTCGAGCGCGTGTTATTATTATCGACGGCGTTTTTGTGCCGCGTGTCCTCAGGGCACGTTCTCGCCGACGCCGTCGGTGGAACTGGTCCACATTCTGGACAGGAGGCAGAGCAGCGGCTCGTACGGGCCCGGTTCGCTCTCCCCCGTGCCGTCAATGGGGATTGAGGCGTGCAAGACCCACGGGACCGCGACGGAGGGTCAAGGTGGAAACGAGCATTGCAGGATAAAGAGGGGCATCGTGCGGCATCACAGGTACCTATAAGGGAAAGCGTTGAGGCGCAGGATGCTTCTTGACAGCGCGTTTCGTTTAACCCTTTAACTACGGCTGTCGTCAATAAGCGATTTTACAATTTTACTTGGTTTTGTATCGCAGAGTTTTTAAAATTATTCCCGTAACTAAAGGGTTAACTGTTCATATCTACAAAGTAAAACTATAAAAATGACTAGGTACGCGCGCGAGCGTTGGTTATCTTATTGGATCCAGTATTTTTGCATCCAGTATTGTTTTGAGATTTATCAAGGTGAAAGTATAGCGATCTTTCTCCCATTGACTATACTCACACTTTGCTCGATTCGAGTAAATTCTTCAGTAACTCGTTCCACGTAGTATAGAGGAGACCAGATGGGTTCAAGAGGCATCTTTGAAATGTCTGTCAAAATAGGGTTGATCGTGTGGTTTCTAGAATAACCATGTCTGAGTCTCAGTTTAAAGAAAGAGAAAAAAAGAAAACAAATAGAAAAATGCTTCAAAGTAGAACCGAGGTAGAACACTCGAATACGAAAGGCGCTCGCGATTTGACCAATCGCCGCAGAAGGTGCCATCTTCGAACGCTCTCTCCGATCATGCTCTCAAACGTTTGCGCAGCTTCAATGACACGGGAGACCGAGCGCTGACGACGCTCGCCAGGCAGCCGACGTATCCGTCGATGCCGCTGAGGCCGGAGGACTGCCGCATGACCTTGGCGAAGAAGGACAGGCGACTGTCCACCATCGGCAGGCACTCGTCGGTGACGAACGAGAGCGAGCTCGGCAACACGAGCAGCATGGTGGTGTGCAGTCCCACGTACGGCATGTACAATTCGGCCGCGAAGAGCTCCAACTACTTCGTCGCCGATGACGAGGCCGTCAGCAGATTCTAAGAGGATGTAGGGGTGGAAACGTCGGGTTCGAGGGGGAGTATCATCACGGTTTCCCTCCGGTGTAAGAGGAGAGGTTGAAGCCGGTACGCTAGGTTTGGTGCGAGGGCTTTATCGGGATTCGTACTCAGTAAATTTCTTGGAGTGAAACTCCATTAGAAAAGTAGAGTAACAGCCAGAGTGATTTGAGTGACTTTCGAGTGTTTAAAACGATGGACAAAAAACGATAAGATTGCATTACAGAGTTACGTCAATGTGTTTTGAATTAAATCGTTTTAGATCGGGCCATGGGATTGCATTTAACAAGCTCAGTTTGAATTTCAATGCGAATCAATCGTCATCTTATTGATTCGGGTTGATTTGGGCTGAAATTCAGGTTAAACTTTATGCAATGTTACCTGGTTTCGTATCCATCATTTTAAACAAAGTTTTCACATTTTCAAATACGTCGAGTTTCGCTCATACAGAGTGAATTCTTCACTCTTTGTAGAGTGAATGATTCATTCAAAATTGAAGAGTCAATCCACTGTACTCCATTGTCTTGCAGCGACAACCTAGTAAACATCAGTAAAAACTATCAATAACATTACACTCAACAGTGTGAAAGCGATATAACGTGTGTTGCAATAGTTACATCGTTGAAACCAAATCAAGTATTGGTCTAGATCGCAAAAGTCTAAAATATCGGAATGAAGAATCCACTTCAAGCTTGAGTGAAACATTTACTCTTGTGATTCTTGGTAGAGGTACTTCCACCGTTGTTCTCAGTGAACTTTTCACTCGTTTTCACTGAGATTTTACCCCCGGAAAATTTAGAGAGCAGTACAACCTTTCGCGTCGCGTTGTTCTCGACGATATTTGGCAAGTATGACAAGCATCCAACGCCCACCTACTACACCCCGAGAACACAAGGAACAAGGACAATCGTAAAACCCGCCCCAGTGCCACTTGGTGATCTCATTACACCTTGATTTCATCGGTTACCCGGTGGATTCTGTTAGATTACTTTCACGAAGATCGCGTGACTCGCGATGAATGTGAAAACGCGGTGTTTCCACATTTCACGACGTCACAAACTCTCGTTCTTCTTGCAAGGTAAAAAGTTCCCTTCGATTGTTCTTTCATTCATTCCCGCAGAGTTTGCGCGTGTACATTTGTAAAACATAATGAGCGCTTGAAGGCGAAGCTTTCCTTTCGTCTTCTGTGCGAGTAATTCTCTCGTTCGCTTCCATCTCAAAAAGGGTGATCGCTTCATCGGTCAACCATCTTGTATATTGACGCGAGACTACATATGTAGCCCTTAGAAGTCCCACTACTTACCAATCTTCAGACTGACAAATATATACGGAACCAATAGCTCGTAGGTGATGTAATCAATTTTGTACAAATCGCAGAAAAGGATCTCCTCCTTCGCAACATTCCACTTAAATCAATAAGGCAAAGGCCGGAGGAAACGTTCGATGAGAACCGAAAGACTCGGCTGATCTGTTATAAATACTAGGAGATATTCAGTGTTTTTGTACACACACACACACACACACACACACACACACACACACACACATGCACATAATTCATTCAGTAATTATGCACATACACTTACACGAGAACAAAGAGAAAGTTTTACGGCGCGCGTTTTCCATAAATCCCAGTTAATTATTAGCGATAAAGTAATAATTTAATGGTAATTTTTCTGATACACGTAAGAGAGAGAAAGAGAGCGATGTACATGCTTATCGTTCCCCTAATCTAATTAAAGAAGAGGGCGGAAGAAAAAAGAAGAAGTGCAGAAGAAGAACGAAGAAATACGCAATTCGGTAAGCGCGATTGAGAAACGAGTAACGCTGCAAGCTCCGTCGAGCGGCGAGCGGAGCTCGAGTCGTTGGTAACGGAACGTCCAAAGAATGTCACGTGCAAATTTACGATATGTCACAACAAGAAAGTACGATATTTTTCCACCGACGCGATATATCTCGTTAGCTTTGTAGTGTTATTGTACAACTAGTCATGTACGCGATTACAAGCTCACGGTTAATCGGTGTTACATTAGCGGGAACGCAGATCGTTCCCTCCTCGGCTCAATACCGATATTTAGGAAAACTTAAGATGAAATAATATTTAAGAGGACTGAATACGAATGATATTTGACAGGTGATCACTTCGACGCCGACATTAGGACGCTTTCACGTTGAGGAGAGATCAAGCCGCGAGAAGAGTCTCGTCCCTTTGTAAGATCTTTGAATTTTCATTATTGCAATTGATTATTCTATGAATTTTCAAAGTGAAAAAGGTCACTCTAGATATTGATATAATACAGTTTTGTATTTTGCACTGTTTCTCTATGTGGTTACGTAGAATTGCGGCCACAAAATGAAAGTGCAAGAGTCAACGAATGGCGGAGCATCCTACGCCATGTCAAAAACAAAAGAGAAAGTTTTGTAAATAAAACATTTTCAATTTTTGTTATAACATGAGGCACTTCGCCAATTCATTGACAATTGTATTTTTATTCTGTATACTCCAGTAAACACCAACCGTCACCTAAATAGCAGGATAAAGTCAAATGAGACGTTAGAGACGTCATTAACGCATCATTAAATACTCTGACGAAATGGACTCCGATCTCACGAGAGAAATCGACCTCTCATATCTCTTGACGTTTATTCATCGATAAATAATTTATTATTGAATATTTTTATCGCGAGTAATTTATTGTCGAATATTATTAATGAATATAATTTCTTTCTTCTGTGTTTTCTCCAGATTGTAAGGGTTAAGTATCTTCCACAAAAAGTTCTTCCATTCAAGCAATATATTTGTCTATAAAAATTTTCACTTGACGTTACCATATTTGCTGGGCAAGTAACATAACACCAAAGCTATTGATCTCCTACTTAACAATGTAAATGCGATATAACGCGTGTATTGTATAACAGTTACACTGTTAAGTGGGAAACTATGACATTGACATAATGTTATTGTCGGTTGATGCTCATTGGCCTGCGGTTCTGCCACAAAAACAGCCGGAAACAGCGCAAACTTCTGAGAAACGTGTAAAACAGAGTATCTTCTTTTTGTATGTCATTGAGTACAGACGCGCGTCGCCTGTGAGTATCATTCCTATACGGCCGTTAATTTATACACCTTTCCACTGTAAATGAGACCACTCGGATCTCAGCGATTAACGCTGAGACGAGTCGTAGCGGTACTTAAAGTGAGTGAGACTTCATACTCGGCGAATCGTTCTTTAGTATTTCTTGTACGTACTTTTGTAAGACGATGTAAGATATGGCGGACACGCGACGAGAGAGGTGAACATCGAATACCTGCAGCAGTATTATTAAACTTAGGCGCGGGCGACTTAATGGCGCTCGTGGGAGGAGAAACCTCGTGAAGGGCCGCTCCGGCCCTTCGTAGTCGTACTTAACTCTTTAAGGTGGACTAATCGCTACCCGACGATCCGATGATCGCAGGATTTGCCCTCATTTCTCAGACATCTGCGGCTTGTTAAACGAAAACGTTAGCTATGGCGTTCGTGTTGCGGCAAATGTTCGTTTCAACGTTAATCCTTGCGCTGACTTTTGAATTCATTTCTCGTCACTTCACTTCTCGTTTCGCTTCGTTTCGCGTCAAGATGTCACGTTATACTCTGTGCAATACCTGTATAAAACCTGATATAGTTTAATGTGTCTATACTTCGTCGCTTCCCTCTCGATTTGACGCGACCATCGGAACTTTTGTAAGAAAGACACCCCTCCTAACGTACGCGTTTATACCTGTATCACGTATATTATACACAAGATATAATTGATAAGTAGTGCGAGGACAAGTATTCGTTTTCGGGTAAAAACGCAATCGATATTGCGCATCGTGAATTATGTGCCAAAGCGTAGGATAAAGAGAATGTCGTCGGCGTGTCCTCAATAGTTCATATCGAAGAGGATCCGTTTTTTCGAGGATTGAAATCAACGCGGACGAAATGGATTCCGGTCTCACAATACCGAGAGAAACCGATCTCTCATACCTCTTAACGTTTATTTATCGATGAATAATTTATTATTGAATATTTTTATCATGAGTAATTTATTATCGAATATTATTAATTAATATAATTTCTTTCTTCTGTGTCTTCTCCAGATTGTAAGGGTTAAGTATCTTCCACAAAAAGTTCTTCCATTCAAGCAATATATTTGTCTATAAAAATTCATTAAGTTTAACAATTTTTTCGTGCTTTTTTTCCAATCAGGCATAAGATATGACAAAAATTGATATATTTTTTTATTTTTGAAAGCGACATATCACAAGTCAATTCTAACAAAAAATCGCTTGTTTCTACGTTGTGAATTAGGTATGTTCGTGTTTATGCATATAGAAAAAATTGCACATAATCGTATCAAAATTCTGAAAAATCACATTAATGGCAAATCCTCGACGATACTAAAATCTATTTATATTTTTTAGATCAACGTAAGAAATCATATAGATCACATAATTCGATTCATGTGATAGAAAATCCTCTTTTACAAACCAGTGTTATTAGTCGGGTAACTGCTACATCTATATTATTATGACTGATTCGACAAATTAAAAAGTTACAGGACAGAAGTAAAAATTAGATAAAATTTGGCAGAAAAGTTGCGAAAAGTTGTAGTTGAGTATAAATTTCTTTGTCATGTATATTTACACATTTAACAGTATCTTGTTATAAAAAAATTACATTTTACGGTGAATGTTAACATAATTTTAATTCTGTTCTGCAAAAGAAACAATAATCATGGTCTTGTCGTTTCATCGTTGAAATCAATGTTCCACTCTGATTAATAACGTCGAGAATTGAATCCATCGACTTTCCACCGATTTCAACACTCTATTTACACCCGCAGAGGACCGATCGCGCAATTCTTCCGCAGATAGACTGAGAGATCGACATGATGGAACGAATTCGTGTCAAGAACTTGTAAATTTCCTATCGACGCGAGAAGAACAGCTCAATTGGATCGCGTGAATGTTCGCTGAGAAAACGAATGCATTCTCGATTGAGGATCGCACGATCGATCCTCCCGATCTGTTCGATGGTGAACGGACGGCCGACGTACAAGTTTTAGCCATGTAAGCTTGCCTTAACATAAGAATAATCGTTCATTACAATAGTGAACAAAAAATGGAGGAAGAGAGAAAAGTGAGAGAGAAGGGAGAAGCGTTTACGTCCGAGACTCGTTCTTAGGTATTTTCGTCGTACCATGTAAGTCACTCGCATTAATTAGTCTCCATAGTTAGTTACTACCAGTATCTGTACCATAATCGCGATGATTAGGGATAAGGGATCGCTGTAAGGAAACGATTCGCTCAAAGTGCCGAATAAAGCAAACACGAATGCGTATTCGTAAGAATAATCATTTATTCAGAAATATAAGCCTACTTTACGTAGTCTGTCCTTAGTACCTCCTTAACTTGCTACTTAAACTTCTTGGAATGAGATTTCCCTCGAAAAATAAAACGACAGAGAGTCGAATCCTTTAAATTATTGAGTGATTTTTCACTCACACAGAATGAATTCTCCATTCTGCGCTAAAAAACTACTGGAAAATCCTAGACGGCAGGAAAAATCTGTTTATACTTTTTTTTAACATAAATTCAACATAAAAAACATTACATAGATTACATTCCATAGATAGAATCCTATATTCTAAGTAAAAACTCATATTGAAAAAATCCTCTAAGAGGAATATTGCAATACTATTCTTTTGATAAAAATTTATTTTCTAAAAGTAACGTCTTGAGGCTATATGTACGAGAATCCCGTTAAGAATAAAATTATATATTTTTGAGTGTGAGTCAACTGAATATTTTCCCTTGAAGGATTAATCCGTATCCCATCGTCACAGGAACGCAAATTCACTCTAGTTGATTGTTTAATCAACTAGTTAATCGAAATGTTCACTCACACGGAGCAAGAGGCCATTTTAAGCTTGAGCAAAGTATTCACTACTGCGACTTCAAATGACGATATATTTTAATTCTAAATTTTATTAATTTTAATAACTTTCACTCGTTTCGAGTGAGATTTCATTCCAAGAATTTCAAACAAAACTAATTGGATATCTTTCACAATAACGATTAAAGTTCAAACGACGTGTTCTGAATATTTCTGCTGGCACAATTTGCAACAAGGGATAAAATATGAAACTACATGGCCTCGAGTAAATGGAATTCTTTGGCGCTCTATATATGAGGGAGCCAAAATATATCGAGAAAGATAAGCACGATGGGTACCGTTCTCGCGCGTAACTTTTCCATCCGAAGATTCGAAATTTGAGCTCCACCTGAACTTGACTTCGATCGCGAGATATCGACCCGTCGATGCTACGACAATTCCAGTTTTGGAAAGAAAAGTATAACTAGTTTATGTAACAATTACAAAACATGGAAAAATCGTCAGAAGATGTGGGACTTATAACTTTTGCTTAATTAACGATAACTTAAAGTGAAAGAAAATTATAACGTGTGTTTAATCTACGCTAGGACTCCTGGCTCGTCGCCGTGAAACTCTTAATTGATGACGTCTGAGGCGAGGAAATAAAAATTCTTGTGAAATGCGTTGAAATAAAAAGATATACTCATAAAATGACATTTGCAAACGATCGATCAGATCCATAAAATAGACCTAACATTTTTCCTCTGCTCTAACAATCAATAAACAACCGTAAGATTAACGCAATAAAGTCACAAGAAAAAGTAGATTAAAAAGAAAGATTGCATGTCACATTAATTTTAATTATTTATTTATTGTTAGAATAAAAGTGCTTGGACTGTTTTATACATCTGCTCGGTCGATGGTCATTTCATGGATACATCTTTTTGTTTCTAAATATTTTGCAAGAATTTTTAACGTGTTTTTTCTCGCTTCTGACGTCGTAAATCAAGACGGCGACGGCGAGAAGCCAAAGGCCTAAAACTCGAATCAGACTAGCGATTGTCAATTGACAATTAGTATTTGACCAGAGTAATACAGCCAGTAGCTGCTTTGCTTTAATTGGTTAAAAACTAATCGTCAATCGTTAATTGTCAATCGGCAATCGCTAGTCTGATTGGCTTAAGACCAAATCATATTAACAATTGCAAATTGAATTGCGATCGTCAATTACTTTTCTACCAATCAGAACAAAACAGCCACCGATCGAGATTAGTGACTGCAATTAGACAATATTTTTTTTTTGTAATTGTCAATTACGGACTTCACAGAGCGATAGATGCGGCATCAATCCGCATATATATTTACAGGAATTAAAAGCTAATTATATTAAAAGCTAATTAAGAAAAATATGTAAATTATACAAATCGCGTTACATGTATGTTACCTACAATATACTAGAGTATAATTCAATATGTACAAAACAAGTCATTTAATGTTATGTTCTAAAATATCTTAGTTGCTTTTTATATCAGAGGAAAATATGTAAGGAACAAATTATGTAGTTGGAAGGGGGATTGGTTGACCACAATATTTAATTCTCTCAATTTATTCATTACACATTTTTCACTAATATAAAAAAACAACAGATTTTTTAGATTCTAAGATTTAAGATTTAGTCATCCTGCGTGAGTACGAAAGCAGTATAACAGTATATACGTGCATATAAAATGTATACGCATTAGAACGTGTGTTTCCTATAACTGCATACAATAATTTCACTAAGAGCAGTATTTGCATAATCCGATCTTACATTTATAATTGTCTGAAGATCAGATTATGAATACGGACCTTTAACATTTGCTCATATTTACTGATTATTACTAAAAGAAAGAGAATATGGAGTTTCAAACGTTTCTAACAATCATAGAAATTCGGTTAATGTCACCTTTAGCCAACTATGTTAAACATTTCAACAATTTGAAATCAATGTATAGGTATGTATTTGATAAAACTAAGTCTATTTATGAATTGAACGAGTGCTTTTGAACAATAAATATCTCCATAAAATCAAACATGTCGAAAAACCATATGCGCAATAAAAGATATTATTTAATAAGATGATATATGTGTGTGTGTGTGTGTGTGTGTGTGTGTGTGTGTGTGTGTGTGTGTGTGTGTGTGTATATATAACGTCAGGCTTATAATATTTTATATATATATATATATATATATAAAATATATAAAAAAAAAATATATATATATATATATATATAACCAGTGACTGTCAATAATGTATAGTCCAACTCTTTCATAACTCTATATCCTCTAAAATAATATGAACTCGTTTTTAAAAGTTTTGAGAACCACAATATTTGAGATTCAATAAAATGGTTGTAATATCTTGTTCTTTCGACGTCGATTTTGCCTCGATACTTACATTCGAGTACGATCGCTGGCAAATTGTCGCTCGTAAATACAATTTGTACACGTAAATACAAATACGAAGACGAAGATATCAGGGTTGAAATCTAACATTCACTCTTTCTATGAAAAGACACGTCGCTGTACATTGACTCGCGGTAATTTATTAGAAAAAACGTCACTTCAAGTGGAGTTTCATTCAAAGAAATGCAGAAAATATGAAAATATTTTTATATGAAAATATTTTTTTTTTTCAAAAAAGCCATTTTCATATTTTCTGCATTTCTTCGAGTGAAACTCTACTCGAAATGACTTGTCATTCATACACAGAGTGAATTCTTTCAGTCTATGAATTGTTAAGTAGTTTTCCGCGGAACTGAAGAGTGGCGCATCACGCTACGTATTGATATCACTCTACTGCAACATGTTAGTAGAATAAAAGATAAAAAATTCGATCTGATTGACTGGAAAACTGATTTAATTCTGCGTGAGTTAAGAATCCACTCTGAGTTCAAGTTTAAAATGTAAAAGATGAGATGTGAATTCATCTCGAGTGACAGTATTTTCACGCTATCGTTTCGAGTGCGACTTCTCTCCAAGATATCCAAAGAGTGTACAATCTGTTATTCTGCACGTGAAATAGCTGTTCATCTCGAGACGCGACGAGAAATTATCATTCAATTCCATACTGCAATACCTAGAAACTTAGAATGCATCGTTTTTTCGCGACAGATTTCGTCAACATTTTATAAATATTTGCACCCGTGTATCGTATTTCGATATCTGCCTTTGTATTTCCAAAATAAGTCTTAACCCAAATATTAACACTATAAAAGCCTCGTAAAATATAATCACAATAGTGTAATTATAACAATTAACTGAGTACAGTTAAATTCAAGCAGTCAATAAATAGACAAAAACAAGACCCACATGAGCGATCTCCAGCGAACGGTGATGTAATTTAAAAAAAATCACGTATCAATAGTTTTGTCTTTGGTTCTTCGGTAGACGGTACGAGGAAATAAAGAAACAAACCAACATGTTATATCTATATAATGGAATTAATGGATTCTCTAAGATGATAAACGTCAGGCTTCATAATATCACATATACTTTAATAACAGGATTTAATAACGTGGTAATGACGTATCATTGACGTTGAAGACGTCATTGTATTTGCTGGGTGACCCAGTTGCGTTGAATAAATGTCGTAAGAGCGAACGTCTACGTATGAGTACTAATGTTTCCTTAACAAGACATGTGATTTGTATAAAAAATAGAAATACTGCACTTACATTCTAATATATTGGATGTCCATCACGATAGAAGATGATCAAAAACTATTGGCTGCGTTCAGCGGAAGTTAACGCTTGGTAAGCGACTAGTGATTATCGTCCGTAATAGGAGCATGTTTTGTGAAATCCTCGATCAACCTAGAAAAGTATAATATTGAAAAGTAATGATCATTAAGGCTCGTGGCTTCTCGCCACAGAGTTCATGATTGATGACGTCAGAAGCGAAAAGATAAACATTCTTGCGAGGTACATTGAAACAAAAGGATATATCCATAAAATTACACTTGCAATCGAGAGATCGAGCGGACTTAAAATACTTTTCTTTTGTTAGGACTATTTTATGGGTCTTCTCGATCGATTACAAGAATTATTTTGTAAGCATGCAATTTTATTTCAACAAAAATTTCTAACGTCTATTTTCTCGCTTTTGACATTATAAGATATCCACGGCGAGGAAGCAAGAACCTTAAGCGCTGACTTTTGCTGAACTCAGCTATTCATTTCTATTCAATTAAATTCAATTCTAATTCGAAATATCGAATCCGAATGAGAATATACGATACAAAAGGCTAACGAGTATACATGTCGGATCGAGAGCTCATGAAAACATGTCCTAGTCATACATTCTCGGAACTTGAAATCGGAATATGTGTTCTATCAACTAGAAGTGAAGTTTAATCTCGTCGGAAAAATCAATACTGAGTCGTCCGTATATTGCTTCAAGTAGGAATAACTCGTAAAATCACCGTGTTAATTTTATCATAAAATTCTCATCAAACGACTAGTCTCGTGTCGCTGTAATGTCATCGATACTCAGCTCTCACCAATCTCTGATTGGTTCAATTGCCGATTTCAAATCGTTAACAATCACACTCACAAGAATTATCTATCGATCTATCGTCTTGCTGAATATAAATAGACACGTTCGCTACAACGGCCAAAAATTCTGCAGTCTCGGTGATTGCTGGACGACAAGTCATATAACTAAGAATTCCTGTCGGTTTGTTGTCCATCGCTCAATTGAGTCGGAGATTGGTGAAAGCCATTTTTACAATCTTCGTCGCTTTATCGTGATGTCAGTTGGATGTTACTTCGTAAGATATGTCGTTATAATTGCTGCGGGCCATGTGTTTCGGCGAGCGTTCATGTATCATAAACTCCTGAACCGTGTTGCACTCGAAGCCGGGACAGTATATACAAATGAAACGGTCAGGATTCCTCCCCACTTGCATCATGTATATGCCTTGCATCGTATTATTCTCTGCTACTGGCGCCGTCACGTTCGTCGCCGGCATCGAATTATTCACAATCGTGCTCACATTCACAAATTGATAAGGCACACTGTTCTCGCTGTTCGTGGAATGCACAGGCAAATATGCACTGCATATTATCTCACCGCCAACATTTGTCTGCTGCTCCTGCTGCTGCTGTTGCAGCTGCTGTTGTTGCTGCATGGAAAAAGTTGAGTATAACGGCGGTGGTTGCTGATTAACCACCGCCATGTACGGCGGCGGTGCTTTCTGCTGTTGTATGTAAGTGTTCTGTACCATAGGTAAGACCGTTGCCGTACTACCAATTTGATGTTGAGCCACTGGTTGAGCCACTCTATTACTTAGTATCGGTTGGGCGACACGAGCTGGCAAGTTTCGATGGTACGCCACCGGTTTCTGTGTTGAAGGTGTTACAGTATTCTGCGGCAACGTCAATATCACGCCGTATTGCTGCTGTTGCTGCTGCTGTTGCTTTGACTGCTGCTGTTGCAGTTGCTGCTGTCGCAGTTGCTGATGCAATTGCTGCTGCTGTTGCAGTTGCTGCGGCGGTTGCAATTGCTGCTGCTGTTGCAGTTGCTGCTGCTGTTGCCATGGCTGCTGCTGTTGCCATGGCTGCTGCTGTTGCAGTTGCTGCTGCTGTTGCAGTTGCTGCTGCTGTTGCAGTTGCTGCTGCTGTTGCAGTTGCAGTTGCTGCTGCTGTTGCAGTTGTTGAGGGTTCGGTTGCAGGTGCTGCAACATTAACTGCTGCTGTTGTTTTTGCTTCAGAGTTGTCTTGTTTGTTACAGAGCACTTAACTTTGTGTAGCGGCTTTACACCGATTACTTGAAATTTTTTGGGCTTTACGGCATTTATTGCAGAAGACGACTGCGACACACCGTTGCTCACAGTTGGTATTATGGGACGATTATAGGATGTGGGCACCAAGGGCGGTACGGGTATCGAAGGATCGAACACCGATTTCAACCGCCATGATATATTGGGTGACAAAGACATTCGCTCAGACTGTTGTTGAGTAGAAGACTGCTGCTCGTTATGGTGCATTAAATTGTGTTCCGTTAACGTATGTGGGTTTTCAAATGACTGAGTACAATTAGGCTGAGGACATTTGACAGCATTCGTAGATGCCGTCTTGTTCAAAGGATCAATCAGCTCCGTTAGAGACCTAACACGCAGAAATTTCGTAGGCACGGAGGTCATGGCGTTCATCGGCAACGCATCCGTGGAATCAAACTGACGTATATTCGCGTCATTGTTGATTGCACCTGGTGAAGCCGTCGAGTTCCCGGTCATGTCCTTGTCACCGGTCGATTTCTGATTTGGACTCGTGTTCTGTCTCGTCACGGAATTTGTCGTACTTGCTGCGTTAGTAGCCTCAACAACTGAACTTGAATTGTCGTTCGCATGGCGGGAATTTTCTGTGAGATTATTATTCGTGGCTAAATCCTGGAGAAGTTCTCCACTGGACATCGTGAGTCTTGTTTGACTATTTTTACGTTTGACTATTTTTACGAAAGATGGAATCTTCACCTGGAAATCGTTTTTATCCTTGGTCTTGCTCGATGTCGAACTGTCCTCGCTTTCCGACACATCTATCATCAACTGTATATCGACTTCCTCTATGTTCTCTACATCTTTGCGACTATTCTTGGCCGTCGTGTCATTGCTCGGGTGATCTTCCACGGAGGTTTCATTGCCCCCTTGCGCAGCTGTCGTGCTCGGCAAGAGAACATGCTCCGATATTTGCGAAACGTCCCCAATACTTGTCGACGGTGCCGCTTTTTCCACTCTCGGCGACGTCTGCCCGCTGGTCGTCATAAATTCATTCGAGTCGTGCGAATTGTCGCACATAGTTTTGTCCTTTTTCTCGAAGCGACTTATATTCGTGCAAGGTATATCGTTCTTATCTACGATGGCGCGTAGATTCACCTTGAAGTCGTGGCAATTGCGGAAATCGTTATAGATGATATTGCATGAGATCGGTTCCTGTTGTTTCTCACCGTTGTTAATGTGCGTGACTGCGTGTTCTTGAAATAGATCGATGCTATTGAAGTAGATGCCGCAACAACCGCATACATAGTTCTCCTGTAGCGTCTCGTGGGTCAACCAGTGATCTTCGAATCTCTTCAACGACCTGCATACAGTCATGCACACCTTGCATATATAGACTCTGTTATTGTCCGTGATATTCGCGACGACATAATGCGACTCCTGATTCTGTTTGTGCTCCAACGAGTGTAGATTAAAGATCCCCTCGTGACTAAATTTCTCATTACACAGCCCGCATATCAACAATATCTGCATCCTCGTCTTAGATCTGCTCAAGGAGGCCGTTCTTTTACTTGGTGATCTAGAATCGTCAACATCACCTCGGCAGATACTCGTGTGCACCTTCAAGGCCGACTCCGTGGTGAAGGCAGTTCTGCATTTTCGACACACCTGGTCCGCTACGAACAAGTAAGTCTCCATTGATCGTTGCTCGCCGTCGTTCGATACCTCGACGAGCTTTAAACCAACGCAGGAGAATCGTGAGAACGATAGACGGCTAGCCAAGTACATCGGGTTTCTGAAGTGATCACGGGCGTGCATCTTGAACAACGTGCCGAACTCGTAAAAGATAATTCTGCAGATATTGCAGTGAAAGCTCGCCATAGCGTCGCGATTCTGCTGTGCGTGCATCGCCAAGTGTCTATACGTATTTCGCAAGGAAGGGATTGTCACTTGGCATCTATTGCAGAACAATTTGGACTTTCGAGTCAGGCTGCGTTTGTGATTCTTCACGCAGGCTATGTTCTTTGGACACTTGAGGTGCGCCTCGAAACAGTCAAAGCGCCGGTACAACGTCCGGCAGACGGTGCACAGCAACACTATCTCGATCTGAACGCAGTCGCCATTGACAATCTCATTTTTGTGACACTTGCAGACAATGGACAGTTTTGGGAACCAGGGTTGCAAGCGCGCCGACTCCTCGAGAAGCGAAGAAGTTGCAGCGTCATTCGTCTTTCTTTTGTCGTGAATCTTTTTGGACGGGTTGATGCTATCTATGTGTGTGGCCAGTGGTAGCAAATCCATAGGGCACGCCGCCTGTACCGAACTCGATGCGACATCCTCCTCTAACGTAGTCTGCAAGATGGACGTTGTAGAAGGGATGTTGGTTGAGTCGTTTTCCGTTGGTTTTGCTTGCTGTTCGTCGATACAATGTCCGGCTATGTCCTGTGATCTGTTGGTGCTCTCAATAGTACCTGCTTCGCTGCACTTGCCCAGATCTACGGACTTTGATTTGATGAGCGAAACGCCCTTGTTGCTCGATTTCGATTGAGGTGTCAAGAGCTGCTTGCTGAGTGTCCCCTGCTTCGTCAACGACGATAAGAGCGAGGTGTCGGAAGAATCGTTAGTCTGGTCAAACTTATGATCGAGCTTCACGTATTTATTTCTCTGATCCTCAAACATCTTTTTCATCTTTTTTTGGCAATGATTGCTCGTCAAGTGTTGCTGTAGCAAACAATAGTTGTTGTACGACGCTTTGCATATAATGCATATATAGTTGTGCTGTTTTTCCTGACTCAAGACGGCAGTCTTTCCTGACTTAGCGGCGCGATGCACGGAAGAGTTCAACGTCGCCGGTGACTCTACCAGCGACTTTGACGGCGACTTCGTCGATGGCTTCGACGATGACTCTACCAGCGACTTCGATGGCGACTTCGTCGATGGTTTCGACGGTGACTTTGATGACGACTTCATCGACTTTATTGGCGACTTCGTCTTATCAACGCTCGTTTTTTCAGGTGACTTTGTCGACTCTGACATTTCCTCGTGTGATTTAGGCGAGGATTCCGAAACAGTAACGTTCTCCACCGCGATACCTCCATCGCGAAGACTTTTGGTGACAACGCTACCTTCGGGCCGAGTATCAAATAGCATCTTACGGACATTTTCCTTGGTGCTCCCGTTACGGCGACTAGAATCCACAGTCGACGATTGATTCTTCGGTGAAGAGAGTTTCACGGAAGATATGATCGATACGTTATCCTTCTTGGAAGACGTAAACGTGGAAGTCAATAAATCAGTTCTCTCACATTCCGCATCCGCCAAATTTTGCAATGAGTTTGACGAAGCGGATTTCGATGTCAATTCCGTCGAAGTGGATTGACTATCAGCTGGTGTTTTTTTCGTGACTTTCTGCAAGCCGAAAGCATTCTGCCAAATTTCCAACAGTGTCCGACTCGAATTACTCTTTTTCACAGGACTCGATTTTTTCAAAGTCAGGATAAGTTTAGGATTCACAAACGGGATGTTTTGGTGGCTCCTATCTGCCGACGCTTGATTGTCTGTAAACAAAAATTTTGAAATGTTCAAAAAGTGAGTTTATGTAATGAAAAGTAGAATACCGTACATCTTAGGATTACATCTATGCGTATTATTGCATTATTTTCTACATGATGTATATACGACTTTTCACGTAGACAATTATTTAAAAGATTCCAAATTACATTACAATATACAAAAAACTAAATATAATTAAAATAGCTAAATTATGACAGTTGCCGTATTTGTTTTGGATATTAATTATAAAATTATTATAAATGTAATATTTAAAAGAGGCAAGGGAGATTGCATGGAATTTTGATTTCATTATGTGACAAATTCATAGATTTAAGTGTCTGTGGATAAGAAAGTAACTAGAGAATTTTCTGACTTGTTTAGAAAACAATGTTCATAAATTGAGAGAGAGAGAGAGACATCAGGATTCTGAAGATTAAATAAAAATATAAACATTTGTTAATTAATTTTTCAGCAAGCTAAACGCTTTTCAAATGACATTCATAGATTACTTATTGTCTACATAGATAATATTTCATACATAATTTATATGTTGTCTACACGCAGACACAGATTATCATAATTTATGTGTTATGTCCAACACTGATTAAAAGAATTATTTAACTGGAAGCAATTACCACCAATTAGGGATACATTATATACTAATTATGGACACCTTATACATTGAAGTATGTTATTTTCACTACTTTCAGTACTTTGTACTAGCATTTTTATAAAAATGTAAATATTTTAATCTCAAAATTGATTTACACACATTTATTATTTTAATTACTTTTATATATACATATATAAATGCACTGAATTCTTTATTAAGTCATCCCAAAATGACGCGTTGTTGTTTGTGTACTATCGTGAACAAAAGGATTAAGATTAAGGGGGTCATACCTTCAGATGAACTGCTCCTTGACACTTGGTACTCAGCATTCGATACTTCTACAGCAGTATTGTTCTCTTCCGCGAAACTTGTGCCCGCATTCTCTTGTATTCCCGACTGCACAAATGTGAACGGTGGTATGCGAGATATGGAGCTGGTTTTAATCACGGATCTCACGTACTGGCGCGTTAAATTTTCGACTTCGTTTGCCGAATATGTGCTGTTGTTGCAAGAACTGTATAAGGCTTCCAACTCTATCAGCAGGACCTTAGGCTTTCTGAACAGTTTGTATTTCTCTTCTAAACTAAGAGGCGATTTTAACGTAACGTTTAGCTGCTTTGGATCATAATTACTGCTGCATGCGTCGAAAGCTTTTGCCAATTTCGAGGAAACTTGGCAATCGTCTGACGTTGTCGAAGAGTCATCACTCAGCACGATTAACTCTGCGTTCGGATCATTCTCGTGTGTGTTGTCCACGACATTCGCATGATCTTGCGATGTTGTTAAACTTTCGATATCTCGTAAACTCGTACTGCTCGTTGAAGATTGCTCGTCGCTTAAGATTGTTATATCCGACCACTGTTCTTCCGCTTCACGACTCGGTGTAGAGCTTCGCGAAATGTTGTTCGCTTTGTTTTCTCGCCATTTGACGACATCCACATCGTCCGAATATTCTAGTCTCGTTAAAGTGACTTGCGGTTTGTTCGTTCGTTTATGTATGTTCATTATAGACAATCTTTTTCGGTCCACCGTTTCGTGGGACGAGCTAGAACAACTTAGGCTATCGTCTTCGATCACGTTCTTACTTACAATTGTCTCTTCGTCGTCAGATATGTCTGACGTTATTACCGCGTATTTTCTCTTTTTCCTGACAACGACGGGAAAGTCGTTGTCAGACGATTCGTCACTAGATATTTTTCTTTTCTTCTTCATCTCCCATTTAGCCAGTTGTCCTCGAAAAGAGGCTGCTCTAACCAGAAGATCATCGAGTGTCTTGTCATACTTAGCAATATCTTTCTTAAACAAGTTATGCTTCTTTGCTTCCTCTGAAGAAAATTTTTTTCTCCTTGGTTCATCTTGATCCAATTCTTCTCTCCATGCTTCATCTTCACAAAATTCTTTCCTCTTTGCTCCATCCTGATGTGATTCTTCTCTCTCTGCTTCATCTCGATGTGATTCTTTTCTCTTTACATAATTCTGATGCAATTCTTCTTTTTTCACTTCATTTTGATGCAAAGTGGATTTATGTGGGCCATTGCTCATATAACTGCATGAAGGCTGCTCTGCACTCTCACTTAAATTCGATAATGGAAATGAAATATTATGACATATTGCATCTTGTTTGTTGCTAGCCAATGTTTTTCTTGTAATCCAATCATATGGCAAAGTACGCGCTGAAGTATGGATATTAAATGCATCATCGACGAATGAAACTTGACTATTTGGTGTCTCATATCCTCCAGAAGATGATAAAGACACAAATGTCTGCTCATTCTGATAGTCTGGAGAACTACTGCTTGATATCGTTGTTTCTTCATTTTGTTCACTTGAATATACATAATTATCTACAGAATCTCTTAACAATGTAGCAGGTATAGTTTTAGATGGTGATGTAGTAGGTGTAGTTTTAGATGGTGATGTAGTAGGTGTAGTTTTAGCTGGTGATTTTACATCATTGACTGTTTTGTAGTTTAAAAATATCTGCGAATTCTTTGTCTCAGACACATTTGCTTTCTTTTTACTAAGCCTCTTTTTAATATTTCCATGTTTCCACGCATTATGTCTTATTTTACGAAGTTTAAGAATTTTACGTTTTTTAATTGTTGAATTTGTTGGTGTATTCATCTGTGGTAAACGTATAAGATGTACTGAGACATCTTTTATTTCAGATTGGCAATTTGTCGCACTATGTACAGTCTCCCTCGATGAATTGCTACTGCTTGGCGTTGCCTCAAATAATTCCTCATCAGAGCTATCCATTGCTGAAACATTTATTATAAATTACAAGTTTTCAAACTCAATACACACAGTTTTGTAATTTGTCGATCTGAAATACTCACTTGTTTAAGATGTCCCGAATATAGGTTAAATTAGTTAACATGAACTATCAACGCGCAAACAGCCAGGTACTTCAACGGGTATTTTATCTGCAGCAATTTAACATTACAAATATTATTATTTCCTACACAACACTCACTATCTGACATGATAATCAATTTTGTATTTCCACGTAAAAATCATCATCGATTATATAATACTTACAAACATAGATGCCTTATTTGCAAACTCTCTTATCTTTGTTTTAACAAGCCGGAATATCGCAATGACGACAATGGTTGCGTTCAGAAAACATAGCTGATCAGTGATTATTGGTTCTTACTGTCAGATCCCTAACTTTAGACCAATTACGATGACTAATTATTCAATCGTTGTGTCTCCTGAACGCACCCAATGATACATCACAAGAAAACCGTCTGATGATGCAAACAACGTTCTTTGTTTACGGTAAATGTCTAATGGTAACTGTCGGAACTCCATTCAACAATCACATTTGTAATAACTGTTAATCGCTTCAATATTGCGATTCGATTATTAAGCGCTAACTCGCGCTACTTTTGTAATTAAATATTTATTCTGCTTTTCCTTTGTCACATTTTTCGACGCACAAGTCACCGATATATCAGGTTATATATCCGCCATGGCAGATAGGCCTTGAAAAGCGCGGTTCTTTTTAGGTTCTGTTCGTCTCAAGTGTAAACTGGCGTTGCATTGGAATTTTATTCCTTTACTTTTTAACGTTAGACTAATTATGTTAATTATTATTATTATTAACGCTAGACTAATTATGTTAATTATTATTATTATAAGTTTGATTAAACTTTCTTCAATAAAATTTTCATTTTTACAAGTTTATGCGAAGAAAACAGGTGCATGATCATAGTTCACAGACTAGGACTGCGTTCCGGAATTCACTGCCAGTACTGAAAATCTATAGTTTAGGGTGCGTTCAGATTCCCTACCCGGGTGCACTCTATTACTAGAAACACTATAGTATATGTTACATATACTATAGCACTTCTAGTATTAGAGTGCACCCGGGTAGGGAATCTGAACGTACATTTATGTGACGTATACTATAAAATTTCAGTACTAGCAGTAAATTTCGGAATGCAGCTTTATCTACAATAGGTGTAGTAAGCTTTAAGCCGTAAAAAATTGACTAATCATTGATTATTCTTTTATAAATCGACTATGATTGGTCAATTTCTTAAAGCGTAAAGCTCACTACACTTATTGTAGATCGAGACTAAACAGTAAGCAAATTGACTAATTACAGTCGTTGATTCTTGGACCGTAACAAAAATCAGCGACTGTGATTGGTCAATTTGCTTACTTCTTACGTTTTACTGCTTAAGTTTTTTGGTGCCACTAGCCTTCTAGTGCCACTAGCCTGTAGATCTTGAACAGGCAATAAGAACAGAGAATAGGAATTTGGATTGGTCAATTATTTCTATTTCCTGTTCCTATTGGCTAATGCCTATTCCTATTGCCTGTTGCCTGGCATTGTGCATAGGGCTTAACCGTCAGTCATTGTTTATTAAAATATTCAACTTTTTTTCTTAATAATTTTTTAGTAAACAATGACTAACGGCTAATGTGACGATAGATTGGGTTAGGTTAGTTTTGAGGGGGGGCGCAGCTTCCCGCTAGTCGTTCGATATTGCAGTTACATAATGTGATTAAAAGATCAGTAACTTGTTTAAATTGTGGGAAAGCAGCAACGTTCGACAAGTGAAAAAAAATTTAAAACAATATATAATTTGAATATTTTTCGGACTCCCCCAATTGATTATTAATATTGGAGTCAAAATAAATATTTTTACCAAAAGAGCTGCAAAAAGATATCAAAATTGGTTTGGCGACAGTTTCCCGAAAAGTGGAGGGGATAATGTTGGTATCAAGGAAAATCTCTACACGATATAATTTAAACATCTGTTCTTTGTAACTGTACTGCTGAACTGGTGCAATAAATTGAAGTGAGGCAAGTATATATTTTCTCACTCTAACTTTTTGCATTAATTCAGCAGTGTGCAGTTACAAAGAACAGATCTTTAAATTATATCGTGTAGAGATTTTCCTTGGTACAACATTATGCCCTTCATTTTTCGAGAAACTGTGTCGTCTAACCATCAAAATTCGAAAAAGGCCTTATTGTACATAATTATCCGAAAAAGAACCAGGAATATTGAAATACTAGATAGTACACTGATCATGCCTGACGGTACTTCCACTGCAGCGCTTGAGATCGATATTTCGGCCAAATATATGATTTTTTAATATTTAATTAAAATTATCCGGATGATTCACAAACCTTTTTAATGATACTTCATAACTCTTCATTCGAAATACAAACAACACCATACCAAACCTTTGTTTAATTTACCTCCGGTCATTATTTCCGGCTAAATACATGGTCCAAAAAAGAACAATTAATTACAAGTAATAGAATGACTCACAAATCTTTTCAATTGCACTTCAAAACTCTTCATACGAAATACAAACGATTTAAAAGAATAGTTTTCCAACCGGAATTTTTTTCCGGTCAAGTACATACGAATGCTGCACAATCAAACCCCAAAGCAGTGCAGCCAACTTCCCTGTCGGATAAAATAGGGCCCCAGGATGCGGAAATACTGCGACAAGAAGCGATGCGATAGGTAAATTTTCATCTTTTATGGAAAAATCACAGACGTAGGAATATCTGGACTGAGCGTATTTCGCGGAGAGTAAATTTACAGAGGTGAGAGGAATGAAAGTTGGAAGTGATCACCAAATATGGCGGCGGCCTATATCACGGAGTACAATAGCTGCGTTCGGCATTGTAAATCGAAGGTGTCGGATTGCTCTTTCATCTCGAAGATGCATAGAAATGAAAAAGATACGAGATCTCGTATCTCCCTCACTTCTGTGCATTTTCGAGGTAAAAGAGCAATCCGACGTCTTCGATTTACAATGCCGAACGCAACTATTGCGCTCCGTAATATAGGCCGCCGCCATATTTAGTGATCACTTCTGACTTTCATTTCTCTCATCCCTGTGAGTTCACTCCCCGCGAAATACGGGAGCGGTGCACTTGGACACGGTGCATTTGGACACAGCCAATCACAGTACCGTGTGATTAGAGACATTTGTAGGGTCCCTTGGAATAGCGACTTGTGATTGGACTGTGTCCAATTGCCCCGTGTCCAACTGATATACACCCGCGAAATACCGCTCCGTCCAGATATTTCTACGTCCATGTATTTGATACAGCATATGTCTACGCCAATCCTTGTGCGTTGACTTCCAACACCGACTTACGTCAACGACACTGTCGTAAACGATTACGACAATCTTTGTGCTCAGGCTCTATGTCAAAATGACTCCGAGAAATTCATGCACTTGCTACTTCAACAGTGTCCGCAGAAATTAAAATTATTGTCTAAGGAGTGGGACCCGATTGACCACGGTACGATTGGACATAGATTGTAATAATTGGTCCGACCTGGTAATTCACTAGATAATTCTTTGCATCAGTTGGTTGTGTCCAATCGTACCGTCGTCAATCGGGACGCTCCCGTAAACTATAGGTACGAGAACTAGAGAAAAAGTCCACAATTTCAAATGGCATTAATATGTCATTTGTACGTAATTTTTTTGTTTATTCGGTGTAGTTGTATAAAATTACAATTTTTCTTTGACGTTTGACGCGACATTTCTCGTTTAATATTGGTATATACAACACCGTAGAAAATAATTATACGTTGATCCTTATTCGGACATTTTTTATCAACAAAAGCACCTCTCTAGATGATTTATAGGCCTTTTAATTAGCGTATAAGTGCATGTAGAAACATTTTTATCGATAAAGAAGTGTTGAGAATAAGGATCTTTATATATCTGAAAATACATTTGTAAAACAGAAATTTTTAACTATAAAATATTTCTTGGATCATCCCACTACCATTATTTTCGCCAGTCATAGTTCAACGAATTTTTTCCTATTTCTCACGATCAAGAAGTAGAATCTTTCAGTTTTTTGCACAGGATATGTGTAATAAAATATGCGGGAAGTAAATCATGTTTTTGTAATTCAAATAAGGTGCTCGTGTGTGAAATCAAGCTGTACACGGTGGCGTATAAAAAGACTCTTGTATTTACACCAGTTTACGATATACATTTTATAATACTATATGTACTTCAGTCGACGATCTTTTTTGATTTAAACGACGTATTTTTATTTTCTATCGTTTCCTAGAAATGCTCGCTATACAATATCGTGCGTCCGTATCTCGCTAGAACTAGATAACAGCGTCTCATACATTTTTCTTTCTCTTTCTCTCCTCTCTCCTCTCTCTCTCTCTCTCTCTTTCTCTCTGTTTGTCTCTTGACACAAGTTTCTTGCATGAGCGAGAGCAAGATACAATGCAAAACTTTGTAATAATCTTAATGTGAATAAGTCTTATTCGCCTATTCTTTGTTGCTGCGGCACGTGTTATCGTGCTCCATGCTGAGATAAGAATGTTTGGCCCAAACGACGATGACATCGCGATAACAACGATGGCGACGATGAGGACGCAGGTTCACGCCGACGTGACGTCAATGGCGGCGGTAAACGCTAAGCAATAATATCACAGTGTGGGTTTCTCGTCCGCTGGCTCCTCCTTTATAGGATGACTGCATTCCATTAGCGCGGGATTCGCTACGGCGATTATGTTGTCTCCACGCGAGGCTATTACCTGCGCAATACAATTATTCATCCGCCGTTAAGTGCCATTGGCAAACATACCTGTGCTGTCTCTATCATTATTTTTTTCCCTATTAATTATAAACGAACATGCACGGTCTTCGTCGACGTGTGTTTTTTTGTGGAGATTATGCATTATTCAGCGATAATAAAAAAGACAAGAAAACATCGAGTATTGCATTATCCTGTCTGGCGACAGATGAAAAAACCTGCTCGGTACGCGCATCTAGCATTTTTTACAAACAGTTTTTCTAGTGGCCACGTAGTGACGACAAAAAGGATAAAGAGGTGAAGATGATATGTGGACGTACACAGGCCCGCTCGATGCTCACCTTCAGATTGAAATCACCTTCCTTGTCGGTGTTGTCGGCCTCCGCCTCGTTTGTGTCCTGGAACATATGCCAATATATAGAGTTTATCTGAATTTTACTCTTGTCTTCGACGTGAAAATGCATAATGACGCTAATGGCGTTATATCGCCTTCGTTTTGTTGTTGTAACTTACGTGCATAGACGAAGATTCCTCGTTGGAGAACGAGAATTGGCTGTCCGAGTCGCTGATTTCTTCCACACTGGCGCTAAACATGCCGTTGTTACTCTTCTTCCTCCAGACTGGACTAAAACATTGCGCATATCTGAACATCAACATGTTCACTCATCCGATACGTAACGATAATGCACCAATGTGTCACATATATGTAATAAAAATGTAATATTAATTTAGATCGTTTATGCCGAAAACATAATATTAATATATCTAATATATGTATCTCTAAATCTATCTTCCCGTTCGTTAATTACATAATGTCGTAGAATCAACTTTGATTGATACTGTTTAGTCTTCCTAATTGGTGCAGAGGAGATTACACGCTAAGGCTTAGTCTCGGCGAAAGGGATAATCACCTCGACGATCTGTGTCTTCTCGTGATAGAATTATTAATGTCCGTGCCAGAACAGCGGAGGTCCAACTCCTCCTGAAACGGTGAACTGCTACAGAGAGTAAAAGTGGCAAGCCGGACACGCGGAAGAAAAGAAGAAGAGGAAGAGTTGGTCAGAAGAGGGACAGATTCAAGTGATACAGACAGCCAAATCGAACTAAACACGACTTGGGACACCAGGCGCAAAGCGTAGAGTCCGAACAAGTCGTGTCGAATGAATCAATAGCGAAACGAATGTTTAAACAAACGTTCGCTATGTTGAATAAGATGCAATTTTTTTCAAGAAAACTCCGTATTAGCCCTCTACAAAAAAAAAAACTCTCATGCTTTCTCTAATTTCGTATTTTACTAACTCATAGGCCGGTATTCATAGTATGATATTATATTTAAAACCATCTTAAGTAATGTCTTAAGATGCGAATACAGTTCTGTGATTAGTTCATGACATCTTAAGACAGTACTTAAGATGATCTTAAATATAAGATCGGACTATGAATACCGGCCATAGTTTATTCGAGACGTGCGAATTAACGATTCAGCGATAGCGCATGCAAGGCAGGCAACAGAAGAGTGCGAATGATTCGCTTTTAGTTGAAAATGATTGCATTCATAGGAATACGAAGTGAAATTATCTAGAATCGACAGGGCGAAAAGTGAGCGAATAATGAAGGATTCACATTGCGTCCGATATCCAATAGGAGAATTAATTTTGCGGAGACAGAAATGTCGCTAGCTGAAAACTCTAGCAAAGAAACTTTACTATTGGATATCGCGTATCGTCGTACATCGGATATTGAACGCGGTGTGAATCGTGTAAAATACATAAGCCTTTGAAGTCCCTAAAGTCAGAGTCAAAACAAAACATGATGATTTCTGATTGACTTGCGTCCTGTCTATTATTTTTAGGAACGATGTGAATGGAAGTGAGAAAGGAACTCTAGCAAAAGTAGAAAAAAGAAAGAAGTTTTAAGACTGATGAA